TGCTGAATGCCACTCAGCCACCTTCAACTCACTTCATGTGAGCTCAGGATGTTGAGGACTCCCAGGGGCACATCAAACCAACTCACAAATGAGAATGCTGCAAATCACTGCTGCAGTTTTATGCCACGTACAGGACCAGCCTACTGCCAAGCACAGAGGACTCCAGGTGCCATGTGGCTGAAGACACCAAAGAAAAGTCTGTAAACAGTGATTTTAAAAGACCAGGAATGTGCTTTAAGCACAAACCTGTCCACAACATAACTACATTAAAATAATAACTTGTCCACACTGCAGCATTTACCAGAGGTACATTAAAAGCTCTCCAGGATAGATTTTCTGGTGGCAAGGATTGGCATGTCACTGTACTACTGCGCATGTTGTAGTCTTCAGCAGAAATGCTAAAAAAAGCATTCCTGCAGCCATTTACCATAAATGGGAACTAGACTTGGTAAGCTTTCTATGGTCACTATACTTTTCATACAAAATAACTTGTGTGCGCAAAATTAATCCCAACCTGTATGTGCCCAAGTTTGCCAATGCAAAACATATTGAGCTGAAGTTGCATGTTCCACTTATATACAGAAGACTCCTGAAGGGTTAAAGGTGATCTATACCAGCCTCTCTCAACCAGAGTACCTTGAGGTTTCTTCAGGGGTGCCTCGGCAAAATGTCTACAAGTTACCAAAAACTTGTATATGAGCCAGTGGGTGGAATAAGCCTGCCTTTTAGTTACACAAAGCCACAGGTTTTCATTGTGCACCTTTACAACCAGCCAGCATCCTAACAACCAATGACATCAGTTGATGAGGATATCAGCTGCCTGCATAACATCCTCGTTTGACCCTCCCCTGCCCCTCGCCATCAGTGCTGGGGTCACATTAGCTCAGTGACGGAGAAAAACTGAAGAGAAACAATGGAATACTACTCAGTACCAGTGTACAAAAGTGTATTTGCTTTGGAAAAATAAATCACCTCTAATGTTAGACGTCATGGATGTTGCTGCATTTTATTATATAAACTATTAGAATAGTTTATCGCAATTTAGAATGGGGTGCCTCAAGACTATCCATAATTTTAAAGGGTGCCTCGGGACTATTCATACTTTTAAAGGGTGCCTTGAATGAAAAAGGTTGAGAAACACTGATCTATACTGTGAAATTCAAGCAAGGGCATCAAGGTCTGAAGTCCAAACTAGCTCATAGACCCGAGATGGCCATCTCCCAAAAGAGGCAAAAGAACGTATGTGGCACCAGCATACACTGCCAGCCAAATCTTGCTAGAAAGAGACATAATCAAATGTGTTGGAAAAAAGCTTAAAGTGGCAGTAAACATAACTTAAAATGAAGCCCTCCAACAGCACGCTGTCACAATTGACAGAGCTTTCATCTTCACCTGATCTTCCTTACAAGTTCACTGGCTCCGGTCCTTTGAATGGACGAGCCGCGATGGCATCACTACCAAGTACAGAGCTCTGAAAGAATGGCACGGGTGCACTGCAGGGCGCATGCGCCGGAGATGTCACCAACAGCTTCACAAGTACATATCTTCTAAATATTTACAGTACCTACAGGTAAGCCTTATTCAAGGCTTACCTGTTAAAAAGATAAACAAAAGCATTTACTACCACTTTACCTGATTGCTTTTGTGCTCCCCAGATAAGTCACTACAGGTCTCCAGTGTGACTCTCCTACAAAACTCTGTAAAGATTTTTGAACAGTGAAAAAATCCCTTCCACATTGGAATAAGCGCACTTTTGGATAAAAAATCAAACAACTCCATTCTGACCATACCTCTAATAATAGGTAAGAATGCATTTTATCTTTAATAATAAAATAAACTAAAACACTTCTCAAATTTTGTAAATGTATTACTTACTTACGAAAGCCCATTCACACTAAAATAGAATGGTAAAGCAAATTTGTTTTTCCAAAAATGCCCTTGAGAATTTAAATCTTCTAAGCGGGCCATACACTAGTAGATGTAATCACAGTTTTCAGGAATTCTAGCAAGATAACAAGCAGTAGAAACCAACTTAGCAGCAAAGGGATGCTACTAGACTTGGGGTGTTTAGCAAAGTTAGATAATGATCGCATTAAGCACTACTAGGAAACTGATAGACCACTAGCATTTGTGAACACTGCTATATTACCAAAGAAGTCAATGCCAGGCTGGCCATCTGCCGTATCACTGAACATGCGAGTATGTTCATTAAGAATCCCACAACAAGAAAAGGGGAGTTTGAAACACTACACAAATGTACATGGGGTGAAGTTCCTCTTTAGTATGTACAGTCTTGATGAAAGAAAAGAAAGGGGGGGAGCTGGTGGCTTAAAAGAGAACCTTCAAATTAGGAATGCGCCAAAATTCCGTTTGTCAAATTGTTTTGGCTGAAATAAGCTCTATTGGCATTTTGCCGATATAAACAAACGAACAGATACAGATGCCGAAAAATGTCCCTTGCCCAGGGCAGGGGAGGAGATTGAGAGAGTACTGCTGCATCTTGGTTCTGCCCTGCTCCGATCTGACTGGGGAGAGATGTGGGTTGCGCTGACCCCTTCTACAGGAGGAAGGCATGGCTGTGCAACGATGCCTTGGCGCATGCCCAGTGCTAGTGGCCGCACCGCTTGATGGACTGAGCTGGGATGTTTTTAAGTTTACTACATGATGAGGGGAGCAGGCTATGCATGAAAATGATTTCCGGGGCCACAGGCAATGCATAAAATGGGTGTCAGGGGGGTTGTGACACCCATTCCATGCACAGACTGCGCACCTGACAGGCTGTGCACGGGATGGGCATCAGGGGGCGCAGGCTGTGCACCCGACACCCCATAACTTCTTCCCATTAGGCTTACTGTACAATGACAGCTGAAGCGGAAACCCTCTGGGGCGATCTGTCACTGGTTGTGTTCACGGCCGATGACAGATCACTACACAAGCCCATTGCCAGTGTCCATTTCGGTTTCGACCAAGTGCTTCCTGAATTTTCATTTCAGTGCACCCCTACTTCAAAAATATATGAAGGATGTGAATATAGAGTTAAAGAGGGCAGTATTTTTAATATCAGGTCAAGATCAAGTGGACATGGCCTCAAACTAGCAGAAGGAAAATTCAAAACTAACCTTAGAATATATTTTACCAAACAGTAGCTGGAACAGGCTTCCAGCAAACGTATTGACACAAGTGACAGCAAGTCCCTATTCACACTTGAGCATAGCACAGATGAGCAATTTTAAGGCTTTATTGGTACATTTTTTGACATGAAATGCCATACAAAAGCCTCTTTGGGACAGGAACACATGTTTTTGACCTACACATTTATTATGGAAGTGCTCAAAAAGCATGTAAATAAAATGTGCTCCCACTGAAGTCAAGAAGGCCAAAAACTTCCATTCTGCTTCCAAAGTAGCTCTTGCACCTTTCTGAACTTAAGGGGTTAAGCTACAGTTGCTCAAAAATGAACAGGGATAATTGAAAGGCATGGGGGATTTGGCTCACAGAGTGTGGAGCATTGAGCTCCAAAACGTTCAGGTGTGAGTGGAGGCTATTGATTTTAAACATGCTTGGGACAAACCAGGATCTACACTGAGGTCCCATTCACATATGGGCAATTCTGAATCACGGACAGAATTGCCAGGACTCCAAAACATGGCAAAACGAGTGTTTGGATACCATTCTGGCTTGGTGCCATGCTGAATGGCACCCTGAACTTGGTATGATTTTGCAGCAAACATGCGACAAGACATGCATAGAAAGAAGTTTGACACAGGGACAAAATTTGATCCCTGAGCTCCTTAGGATCGACAAACACGCATAAGGCAGCCCATTTAAATGAATGGTCTGCCCTGTGCGTGACATGCATTTCCATGTGTAAAACATGCTCACAAAATCACTAGTGAGAATCTGCATTCCCAGTAACGGATTATGGAAACTGGGTCTAAGACAAAAAAAAAAGTTCACAAAAAATAAGTCAATGAACTTAGGGCTCATTTACACTAGCAAATGTATGCATTTTTAACGTGAACTGTTATTATTCAGAATTTATATAGCGCCAACAATTTGCTTAGTGCTTTACAATACAATGGGAGACAATACAGTTCAATACAAGAGGGTTAGAAGGGCCTGATCCTGGGAGCTTACAATCTAAGAGGGAGTTTATTTGGTTTTATTGCAGGCTAGCTGGGAAATTTTGATGCGTGTTGTCCTTCAATGTACTCCTTCCTGTACATGTGCCTTAGCTGCAAAGCATGGACTTGTACCATCTGCACGCTCGACAGGTGATACCACCCACCAAGTTCAACCCTTTCAAGCAAACAGTTGCACCGCAACCCTGGTTGGGAATTTTTTTTTTTTTTTTTAAATTACAGGCTGCTTAGCATGAGACCACCATACAAAAAAAAAAAACAGACAACCATCAACATTCCTCTTCTAATTGCTAATGATCAAAAATTTTTTATTTGGAACTGAAGTCTTTAACGGATGTGACGGGCATTTATAATGAGATCTAAACAGATCATACTGTACACCCCTCTTTCAGATCTCCCATCATCTACATAGAGTGAGGATCTATCAGATACAAATTGGAGGTACGCCTTAGGTTTGTCCTCATTCTCTGCTTTTGGTAAACGTAAAGGAGATCGTCCTGTCGTGGTGTGCAGGATCGGGCCCATAGAGAGGTGTAGACGCCGCTGTAGGCCATGCGCGGTCCTGAGGCTGTGATATGGAGCGGCTCTTTGTTCGCCCTCTCATTGAGCAGCACGTGGCGGCGCTCCAGGCCAGAGTAATAGAGGCATAATGCCGGCCTGAACATGGATTCCCTCTGAGCGCCTCCACCGCACACAATGCAGGCCATGGAAGGCGCCATTTTTATGTACGAAGTCTTCGAACCCCACCCAATAATAATCCTATACACCCGCTCTAAGCTCCCCCACACACGATGACTGCGAGTCTCCGACACTAATTCCTTCCCCCTCCCCCCAGCTCCTCCACCACGAGACACTGACCGTTAGAGAGCAAGCTCATGGCGTGTGTAAATGACGGGTCCAGGCTGTCCTTCTCCGCCATCAGCTCAGGCAAATACTTGTTCTCGGACTCCATATTGATTGAATTTTTTTTTCCTTTCTCCTCTAATGCGTCTCCCTTCAGCTCTGACCGACTCGTTTTCCGGCCCACGAATCCGCCTCCCTAGATAAAAAGCAATAGCCAAAGCCCGCCCAGGGGAAGTGACGTCGCGGCCCACCCAGAGGCGAGAGACTTGTGCTCAGACAAAGACTTCGGGCTTTTCCTGTCTCTCCTTAAGGAGCCATTTTGTGAGCGCCCCCTATATGTATGAAGTGTGCATGTTATCGCTTCAGTCCCAAGAAACCGCCAAAGACATGTCTGTGAACAATGTATACTCTAGTGACTGCATAGGAAGAAGGCGTGCGCACATTTCCGGCTACTCTCACAATGGAGACTGGGGATGTACCACGTGCTAAGAATATGTAGTCTATAGGACAAGCCCCCACCTCAGAAAAAATACTATATAGCTTACTTCCTGTACCAAAATGTCTAAAAAAACGACCTGTGTTGCCTGCAGCAGTCCCCTTCTCATCCATGAAGAATATGAAAGCCATTTTGTCCTTTCCCATGTCAGTTGACCGTGTTATGAGACAAAGCTGCAAAGATCAATAAATTCATATACACTATACATGAGTTGCCAAAGGCAGCACAGCAGCTAAATGGTTAGCACTTCCGCCTGGCAGTACTAGGGAAGTTGGTTTGAATCCCAGCCATGGCACCACCTGCCTGGAGTTTGCATGTTCTCCCTGTGCGGGTTTCCTCCGGGTACTCTGGTTTCCTCCCACACTCCAAGGACATGCTGGTAGGTTATTTGGATCATGTCTAAATTGGCCCTAATATGCGTATGTATGAATGTAAGTTAGGGACCTTAGATTGTACACCCCTTGAGGGTTAGAGAATGACCCTATCCATGACTTCAATTCTCCTCTTAAGCAGTCTAAAGTGTTCCATCACCTCAAATCCCAGCAGTTTGCCTACAAGCGACCAAGTTTGCTCAGTCGTACACTCCATGTTTCTCTCATTACCCAGTATTTTACACTGTCTCAGCCACTGAGAAGCATAGAGGTGTTCTGATCACTTTCAGACGCAACCTTCCTTTTGATTGTGTGTAGGAGATCACTGACCCAACAGACAGGGATTTGCTTTTACAGGGAACCCTCTGGGACCAAGATATTACTATTGTCTCCTATTTTGCTTCTAATAGATAGAATGTTTTTTTCTCATCTTTGTAAGGTAATTTCCCAACAGCAGAAGGGCTGCTCTTAATTCTGTCCTGGACCGGCAATACGCACAGGGGGTTATCACCTACCATAACCCACCACACGAGGCCCAGCTACGTGAGACCTTACAGACCTTTGGCCTAATAGACTTTACCTTTTACTCTAATCCACATGATAGATTTTGCAGGATTAACCATGTCTTTATGTAAGCATACCACATTCCCTTGGTACATAAGATCTCTATCCCTTCCTCTCTATGGTCTGATCACAACCCACTAATTTTTCTCTTGTCCCTTCCAGGCTTTGTCAAACACCCCTACCATTGGAGACCTAATGAATCTCTTTTGGCTAAAAAAAACTATTTGCCAGCATATTCAATCCTCTATACAGACTTATTTTGCTGACAATGTAGGTTCTGTTACCTCTGTGGTTTCCTTATGGAAGGCCCACAAGGCCACTAGCCATGACCACATCATACAATTTGCTTCTTCTCGTAAATGGCAGAGGGAACATTGAATCATGGAATTGCATTCTCTTCTAGAGGCGGCGGACACACTTTGGAAGGCCCAACCTACAGTGTCACACAGGAAGACCTGTGAAATCCTGGCGACGGAGCTGGATCTCCTCTGCACCTCCTGAGCTGAGAAGGCTTTGTGGTGGACCAAACACGAGTATTACTCATGTGCAGATAAACCTGGGACTATGTTGGCCAGGAAACTGAACTCAGTGGGGAAACTGTATAAGCTTGTTCGACTTCAGATGAGTGCAGGAACTCTCACTTCTAACCCTCCACAAATCCGGTCTTTCTTCTCTGAGTTTTTAACTTCACTCTATGCTAAACCAGGATCCTTCTGCCTTGATCAGGCTGAAAAGTTCTTTCATGAGCTACATCTCCCCACACTTCCGGACGGAGCCCAGAATGCCCTTAATGCCAATGTCTTGGAAACCGAAGTTCTTGAAGCCTTCCAAGACCCTGGGCCCTGACAGGTTTTCCGGTCTTTATTACAAGACATTCTCTGCCCTCCTAGCACCCCACTTAGCTAATTATTTTAATGCTCTGAAAACTAAACCGATGCCTTCTGACACCTGCAGAGCTCATATCTCAAAGATTCCTAAAACACCAGAAGACAAGAGCAAACCCCAAGGTCTCCGGTCAATTTCTCTTCTGAATGATGACTTGAAAAATATGGGGAAGATCTTGTGGTTCGACATCAATAAATTTGTGTCATTTAATACATACAGTCCAAATTGGCTTTGTGCCTGGTAAGCAGGAGGGCGACAATATTTGCAAAGTTGTACATCTCATTCATCTCCTACATCAATGGAAGATCCCTGGCTTCCTCCTCTCCTTGGATATCTATAAGGCATTTGACTCTTTATCTTGGGAATACTTACAATTTGTACTTTCTTGGGGTTTTGGAGACGTTCTGCTAACCTGGATCAGAGCCTTATATTCTACACCCACAGCATTGGTTAAATACACTGGGTACAGTCAGGGCGTGGCCGCATGTGAAGAGAGTTGGACGTGTGGTGGCTGAGCTCAGCTCCTCATTCATCCTGCTATTGATCCTGTGACAGCGGTTTCCCTGATTTTCCTCCTGGTAGTGGTGAGCGGTTTTCCTCCTGATAGTGGTGAGTTGGCTGGGCACCCCGTTCTCCTCCTCCGCATGTCCCCCGGCAAGCATAGGTCGGGCCAGCCTTCGGTGGTTCCCTCGACCTCTTCTCCGGTGGCCATCTTGGACACAAGGCCAGCCCTCACAGCAGTGTCGGTTGGCACGCAGACATCCCGGGAGGGCATGGGCAATCCCGATCCATCTCCAGTGCACCTCCTGGCGGCGATCACCTCCTGCAAGGTAGCCCTAACTTCAAAAATCTATCCCTGGATGTCGGTTTAATCCGACATAATATGGAAAATTACGGCACAAGGCTGTCTGAGGCGGAATCCCGCATATCTCAAATGGAGGACGACGTCCAAACTGATTCTAGATAACTCAAGGCTCTCCAGGGGCAGGTAAATGCTCTTCAGGATAAATCTATCAACATGGAGAACTGGCTTTGCCAGAATAATCTGCGGATACTAGGCCTTCCAGAGAAGGCTGAGGGCTCGAAACCCGCAGACTTTGCAGAGCAGTTCCTGCCTAAGCTACTGGGCCTCCAACATCTTTACTCTACGTTTGTGGTAGAGCAGGCCCACAGGGTCCCTCCTGCTCTGCCGCCGCCGGGGGCCCTCCCGAGACCTTTTCTAGTTAAATTACTGAATTTGGGATAAAGATATGGTGTTGTCGGCCACACGCAATTCTCCTTACCTTCTATATGAAAATGCCAAAATTTCCCTGTATCCTGATTACTCCTCAGAGGTGCAACAACTCCGTCGCTCCTTCACAGAGATCTGCAAATGTCTACATGACCGTGGTCTGAAATACAGCTTATTATACCCACGCAGACTCCGGGTTTTGGATGGAGGCACTGCGCGTTTCTTTGATACTCTGTTCACCTGCTATTAACATGTGCTGGAGCTGGTTCTCCACTTTTCCTGGATATCTGATTCACTTTCCAGCAAGGAGTTTCCTGCCCTGGTCCCCTTTTTCTGTCATCCTGACTTCCCACTATGATGGTTTGGGAGTGGAAGCCTCTAACCTGTTTATACACCTACAGCTTCCCCAAGATGGACTGCCAGATGGGCATATGGACTCTGAAGCTTGTTCTTCAGTTTAGGGTACAGGTTTTTTGCCGGGTAGATCTACAGATATTAACATCTGCCGTCTTTTCTCTAATATTCATACGACTCACCTGACTGGGGGCTCCCGTACTGTGGCTACGTTGGATATGAAAAAAGCCTTTGATACAGTGGAATGGGCCTATCTGTGGAAAGTGTTGCATTGGATGGGGTCTCCCTTGTGTTTTATTTATTAGTTGTGAACCCTTTACTTGAGACCCTTGGCTAGGATACGGCTGGGTGGACTTCTTTCAGCTGCCTTTGGTTTGCAACGTGGCACTAGACAGGGGTGCCCCCTCTCCCTGGCCCTCTTTGTTGTGGCAATGGAGCCTATAGCGGAGGCCCTTCGGGTCTCCCCTGATCTTGTTGGTCTCCAGGTGGGATGGTTGGAGGAGAGGGTGGCCCTTTATGCAGACGATCTGTTATTGTTTCTCAATGATGCTTCTCTCCAGGGAGCACTGTCACTCATGAATTTATTCTCTAATTTCACGGGTCTGAATGTTAACCGGCATAAATCATTGCTCTTTCTGGTAAATGCTGGAGCCTTGGCTTCCACCTTCCCTGATTCTCCCTTGCAGTGGGTTGATAAATGTACTTATTTGGGGGGTGGTGGTCTCCAGGTAGGCTATGGAGTATGCGGAAATGAATCACTACCCCGTTCTGTCTGAGGTCCGGTTAATAAAACTGAAGGCAGGGAGCAATTTACCCGTCTTTGATTTGTCGAATTAATCTGTTAAAGATGAAAATTCTTCCCAAATTTACTTATTTGTTTCGCAATTCCCCTCAGTGGCTTCTTAAGTCTTTCTTTGTGAAACTGAATCGCTTATTCTCTTCCTTTCTTTGGGGTCCCAAGCCTCCCAGATTTAAATTTTCTACCCTTACTAGAACTACAGACAGGGGAGGTTTGGCTATGCCAGCTTGTTTTCGGTATTTTCTTGCTGCTCAACTGGTTACTGTACATTGGTGGATGCAGCCAGACCTCTCCAACACTTCTATTGTCTTGGAGGCGGCGGCGATTCTACAATCCTTGGAAGCTCTACAATTTCTAGTGTTTAAGGGTCTACTACTGTAACACCTACTACTAGTTACTACTACTACTC